AGACTTTAAGGACTACCACTTTAGCAGCAGTCCACTAGTGCCTCTTCAGTTTATCATGGATGTGATGTCTCTAGTATATTACTTTAACAATAGTTTACTAGTCCCTTTCCAGTTCATCATGGACATATCTCTAGGACACCACTCTAACAGCACTGTACTAGTGCCTCTTCATCTTATCATCAAAAAGACATATAATTTAGCAGCAGTCATCTAGTGCTTCTCCAGTTGTGTACAGATATTAACCACCGACCTCTCTTCCAGGCCTCATGGTTGGAAAATCAACAATTTCCATTAAAGAAAGTCATCAGCACTTCTTTACTCCTTCCCCATGTTCTTTTCGACTTTCTGCTTCCTCCCAGACCTCGACCAACTCTGCATCCTCATCTCTCTTTTGGCAAAGTCGATCGCTTCTTCCAGTTGCCCACATGACCTTCAAATAGGTCATCTTTATGCTACACATGGAGTTCATACAACTGCCACTTGTCGAGCAATAAGTACTGGAATCTTGGGTACATTCAACTTCAGATAAAAGTGTTACATTATTAGAAGTGGCACAACAGGAGCACTTTCTGTTTGGGCTGCTCACTTCACATGCTCCACCTCTCACCCCAGCTACATAAAGGAAAAACAGCTGAAAATCGTCAAGGAAAGCAGGGCCAGAGGTGCCATAATTCCCCAGGATGGGGGACCCTAAGCACCGACCACATGGCAACTTAACATCAGTGACAAACTACCACCACTACCAGGTTTCTGCTGAACTGTGTCACACCGCACATGCTGGCTTGTACTGTCTTAACTGGGAAAATCTATCAGAGAGAGCAGGCTGCATAGCCAACTTCAGGCATTATAAGTACTAATGTAATTAATAAAAAGCCAAAAATGATTTACCTTACCAAATTCAAGAACAGTTAAAATTGTTAGGAATAAAGATGGATGGAAGAACCTCTCTTGAGACTATAAGGCCTACCACTACTATTATAAATAATGACTGAAATATTGACAAAATGATCACATTACCCTGAATAATTTATGTTCTAACAATTCCCAGATTTGAATGGAAACTGTACATGGATCCAGGAATGCAGTGCCAGGTTAATTCTGAGTATTGGTAAGGATTTTGTAGTTTTGTAATTTCATGTTCAGAAATTACTTATGCTATTTTAATGCTGTTAGTCATTCAGTGTATCTACTCTGAATCTTGCTAATGAAGAACTAAATAAATATTAGTCCCAGTTTAGATGTTTATACTAACCTCAAGTTCAATAGGTCAATATAACAGTTATTCCATTAGTACATCAACCCCATATGTTAAATGATAAATATGCTGTATTTTCAGGAAGCACATACTTTGACACATTTTCGAAGGGTTTACCATAAAATCATATTTCTGGAACTTTCATTTAACATTCTTCAATACCATACTTCTATTACTGTATTGGGTAGCACAGTGGCGTAGTGGTTAGCGCTTCTGCCTTGCAGCACTGTGCTTGCGTGGATTTCCTCTGGGTACTCCAGTTTCCTCCCACACTCCAAAAGACATGATGGTAGGTTAATTGGCTCCTCTCTAAGTTGTTGCATGCATGTGAGATAGGGACCTTAGACTGTAAGCTCCTTCAGGGTAGGGACTGATCTGAATGTGCAACTATGTAAAGTGCTGTGTAAATTGTCGGCGCTATATAAATACCTGTAATAATAATAATAATAATAACACATACAGTAGATGCTCCCTCTAGTGGCTTCCGCAAGTACTGCAATCTCTCACTGAACAACCGCTGAAACAAATTCCTAGCCACAGTGAGTACATTGCTCTTGGTCTGTCACACCTGACTGATAGATTTTTATTGAGCAAAATAATGGATGCTCTGGCCGGAAAGGGGGCTGCCCACCCCCCACGTGACCTAAAGAGATGCTGCCTCAGACAACATTAAAGGGATGCAACAATACAAAGAACGAAGCAGAACATGCATGTGTAGTAGACAAATATCGCTGCCACTATGTGCATGTAAACTCACAAGTTGAAAAAAAAAAGAAAACCCTTAAAGCCTTAATACACGTAACAATATTTACATTAGCCTGTTAACTTTTACATCTTCAGACAGACACTCCCCCTCCCCCCCCCCACCCCCCGAAAAAAGAAACATGTTTCTATTGAACACCAAAAAAAACAATGGTAACTCTCTTAAAAACACATATACACATGGTGACCTAGTTCAAAATAATGTAATTTTCCACCTTACATTCACATTTTACCCCTTAATGTCCTGCTAGCTAAGTCCTTGTGGTTGCCACTATCTTACTTTTCTGACTTTCCAAAATCTAATACTGTAAAGATTCAGGCAAGCTATTCCCCTTTTCTCAAAGCTCATTGCAACCTTGACCATGCACACTGGTACATGGGAAGGAAGATACTCAGTAGGACCCAGAGTAGACCAACATTGGCTACTACAAGGAATTTCTGCATCCCCAGCAGCACTCCAGATGTGAGATATAAAGAATTAGATGCAACCAAGTTAGGCCAATGTAAGTTTAAAAAAAAAAAAAAAAAGGATAATTCCTGGAGTTCAGCTTTAAAAAAAACAGCAAAAGTAGTGATGTGCATAGTACATTAAAATTTAACAACCAATGGGATTTCATATTGCTGGCAAAAGATCATTAAAAAAGATAAATCCTGATTAGTTTCCATGGGCAAATATATTTTCTGCCTTATTGAAGAGGTCTATTGATCGATCTGAGGTATTCGGCAGCTTAGCCAGTGTTTGACCGGACCGCTGGAAAAGAGTGGCCTGCAGGCCAACAACAACATGTGGTGCACACTGTCAGAGAGAATAGTTCTGTACTTTATTCCCGGTATAGTGGCAGCTCTGTCATTTGCTTATAACAAACTATATGGATTGTAATTATGAAAAAAAGAAAAGTAAAGGTCTATATTAACAGTCGTATGCAAAATATTCATATAAATTACATTTAATTCTCCAGCGCTAGTAAATGCTGGAAGCTACTAAGCTCATGAATATTCACTATACAGCTCTCTTTTCCAGTAAAACAAACATTTACATTGGTTTCCATGTTGATTTTTGATTTTAGCAAGTCCTTATAATGTTAGAAATGACAACGTATTACTTCTAAACTTCACAGTGTTCCGTTTCACCAGCGAGAAACAAAACTGATATCCATAACAATATTATAATAACAATAATATAAAAGCATAACAAAATAACACAATGTCTAAATATAGTACACTGAAAGCAAACCGCTCCCTTAAAAAGCTCTTACATGTCAAACTAGGGTTTAATACAAGTGCATCAAGTATCAGATAACCAAAATATGAGTTCCCTGGTTATCTGTACTGATATCCATAACAACAGTATAATAATGCAATAAAATAATACATTATCTAAATATATCACACTGACAGCAAACGGTTCCCAATAAAAGCTCTTATGTGTCCAATAAAGGTATAGTATAAAAAACTCTTACGGGTCCAATAAGGTACAGTAAAAAAATCTTACACGTTGAGTAAGGTATAGTATAAAAAGATTTTACATGTTCAATAAGGTACAGTATAAAAAGTTCTTACATGTTCAATAAGGTACAGTATAAAAAAATTCTTACATGTTCAATAAGGTATAGTATGAAAAGCCCTTACATGTTGAATAAGGTATATTATAAATAGTTCTTACATGTTCAATAAGGTATAGTATAAAAAGCTCTTACATGCTCAATAAGGTACAGTATAAAAAGTTCTTACATGTTCAATAAGGTATAGTATAAAAAGCCTTTACATGTTCAATAAGGTATATTATAAAAAGCTCTTACATGTTCAATAAGGTATATTATAAAAAGCCCTTACATGTTGAATAAGGTATAGTATGAAAAGCTCTTACATGTTGAATAAGGTACAGTATAAAAAGCTCTCACATTTCCTATAAGGTACAGTATGAAAAGCTCTTACATGTTTAGTAAGGTATACAGACATTCCTCGGTTAACGACTTACCTGCTTTGCGACCACTCGCACTTACGACGGGCCGCCGAGCGACCTCCGACCTCGCGTGTCAGCGTCAGTGCGACGTGTCGCCGGCGGAAGTGACATCCTCCGATCTTCACTGCGGGTCCCGGTAAGTATTTTCATTGCCGATGTACAGTACACTGTTCGGTACTGTACATCTGCAACGCTATACAGTACTGTACTAATGCAGTACAGTACTGTATAGAGTTCCTCACTTAACGACCAATTCGTTTAACGACCTGGTCGTAGGAACGGAACTCGGTCGTTAAGTGAGGAATGCCTGTAGTATAAAAAGCTCTCACATTTCCAAAAAGGTATAGCGTAAAAAGCTCTTACATGTTCAGTAAGGTAGAGTATAACAACTCTTACATGTTCCATAAGTTATAGTATAAAAACTCTTACATGTTCAATAAGGTATAGTATAAAAAGCTATTACATGTTCAATAGGGTATAGTATAAACACTCTTACATGTTTAGTAAGATATAGTATAAAAAGCTCTGACATGTTCAATAAGGTATAGTATAAAAAAGCTCTGACATGTTCTGTAAGGTATAGTATAAAAAACTCTTACATGTTCAATAAGCTATAGTATAAGTGCATTAAGTATCAGATAACCAAAATTTGAGTCGCCTGGTTAAACGACAGAAAGCCAATACACAGAATCTCCATCACATTACTACTGTCATCCTCTTCACGCCACAACTACACAGCATCCATTCTTACAGATAAATCTCTAAACAAGATCATACAAATAGCATTGAAAACTCAGGACACGCACTAACTATGGTCCGGTGTTACATAATGGAAATATATCAGCACTATACTGTGTACAGTATGTTCAAATATAACAGTGATTTAAAAAATTGCAGTGAAATGCAGGAAGGCTAAATCAGATTACGTCTATGTGCATGCTAATATTAATAAATGACACAGCTGTATCCATCCAAAATAATCCTGTGGCCGCTGTCACAGTTTGCGAAGGCATACTCTACCATTATGATCAGAGTTCTCGGTCTGCTTATTTCATCCACATCATCCTGTAGCACAATCTCATGTAACAGATCCTCCTGTCCTCTGGTGCAAATATGGGGACAGCTCCTCTGTACCACAGACCGAAAGGCTTGGAGCAGAACAATGCTGGCAGCACAGCCCATATCTGCATCCTGAAGCCCACAAAATAACTTCTATGTTGATGCTATGTTTGTACAACAGTGGCTCCTTGTCCCTGAAAGCAGCCTACACTGCAGCTGTAGCCAGACAGCTCTCCAATCAGTTCCTGCTGCCTTGATCATCTGATCACAACTAAATAGCTTGGATGCAGCTAGAGGAAAAGACTTCATCTACTGTAACTGAACACTTGCACAGACATCAGGGCATGAAACCATCTCCAAATCATTCTTGAATCGAAAGAAGACCAAGCTTTTTTTTTTTTTATTTCCACAGAGCAAGTGATAGCTGCATTTCCACGCTGCTTCTATTAGAATCATGTGTTGGAAGAAATGTATTTTCATGGTAATAAAAAGCAGGAAATAGCCCAATCTTCCAAACGGTAACAATGGACGGCAAATATTTATTCTGGATGTTATTTTGGGACTTTTGAAGCATTCTACAACTTAGATTTTGTTTTATTATGCTATAGATATCGCTGCAGGGGAAAGGTGATGTAAAATTAACATAATACATTACTAAACATTCATGTCTTATTTCTTTATTACTGGTATTTATATATCACCGACAATTTACACAGTGCTTCACATCTTTTATCTTTTCAAGGAGAATTTAAGTCAAAAATAATTACAGTCAAAAGAGACTCAACTGGGATTTCTCACTGCTTCCTGTTATACACTTTTAGATTGTAAGCTCTCATGGGCAGGGCCCTCCCTACCATCTTGTCTTGATTTGTATTGTAACTGTAATGTCTTCCTTACGTTGTAAAGCATTGCAAAATTGTTGGCGATATATAAATCCTGTATAACAATAATACATGTTTTTTTTCAATTGTGAAAGGAACAGGTGCTTTTACTGACAGTGAAAACAGGTGTACTAAGACGTTTTCACAGCACCATAGATGTGGGAGTGATGACTGAACTGCATTGTGTGCAATGAGTAGCTGTGTCCACAATGGCAGCTGTGTCCACAATTAAAACTTGGAGAATGCCATCACAGGCTTCTGTTTCTGCTATCTACCCTAGCTTACCCAGAGAACTACTTAAAGAAGAGATCCAGGAAATGTAAAAATTAACCCTTGCAGTGGGACTACCACCACACTGCGAGGGTTAACTGCTTGTTTTAGTCCAGGGGCTAAAAAAAAGAAAATATGATCACCTGATCCTCAGTCCTGCGGTGGTAAGCACTTGCCGCCCTTCCCCGGGCTTTGGCTGTGGAATGTCCCTCTGCGTCCTTATGTCTAATGCAGCTGCATTAGAGGTGATGATATCACAGGTCCTTAGACTGTCAGAGCCTAGGGAAATAGAGGCTATGGAGACCGGTCTAGCACCCTAGCGGGACTGAGGATCGGGTGAGTATATTTTCTTTATTTTTGCCCCTAGACCAAAACGAGCACTTACCCTCACAGTGCAGGGGTAGCCCCACTACAAGGATCAATTTTTACATCTTTTTTAACCGCTTGAAGACCAGGTGTTTAGACCCCCTTCCTGGCCAGGCCATTTTTCAGTATTCATCGCTGTGGTACTTTGACTGACGTTTATTCCGTCATGCAATGCTGTACTAAAATGAATTTTATACCATTTTTTTGGGGACTGATAGAGCTTTCTTTTGGTGGTATTTAATCACCACTGTGGTTTATTATTTTTGACTATGATTAGGAAAAATTACTGAAAAGTTTGGGGAAAAAAAAGGTTTTTTTTACATTATGTTTGGAAACATGTATTATTACCCAATTTTTTGGTAAAATATAAAAGACGGGGTCACGTCGGGTAAATAGACACCAAACATGTCAAGCTTTAAAATTGCGCGCACCCGCGAAATTGCAGAAAACTACCATACCCAAAATTGGCCATAGGCGACGCTTTAAAAGCTTTTACAGCTCATCAGTTTAGTGTTATCAATGATTCATGGCCCAAGAATGATTGCTCTCACTGCGACGTTCGCGGCGATATGTAACATGTGCGGCGTAATGGGCACAATAGTAGTTTTTGAACCTATGCGCCCCCGACGCATGTTTGCACATGTATGTATGGGTGGGGACTTTAAAAAATGTTTTTGTTTTTTTTTATTCTTTATGTGTAACTTGAAATTTTTTTTGGGGGACTTTAATTTTTTTTGTGACTATGGATGGCGCCGTATCAAGTAAAATCGTTGTATATAGTGAACTATAAGCCATCTTAAAGTGAACTTTAAGCCTGATGAACAGGAACCTGTGCGGCCCCGAAAGCGCTTGTTTCCACTTTAAGTGACTTCAAAAATAAAAATGAAGATTCACTAAAACCTTGACGTATTCTGTCATATTTGGAGTGCTGATGACATCTATATACAACAA